CCACTGACGAACAGTTGACTCTACTTTTGGCAGATTCCCTGTGTTCATCCTCGCCAATTCCCGGTTGGACCGTCTCCACAATCTCCACAGGCACACCCGATTCCGAAGTCCGGGACCAGATTCGGAAGTCTTTGCTGAATATTCCCCGAAAACTCTATGAAAAATATTGATCCACTCAATTCTCCTGGTTAACAACGTTTTGTATGAATAATTACAAGGGGCCGATCAACTACATACTTTTCAACACTTAGGACATCCTTTTCACCTCTTTCCTCCTTTCCGGAATTCTCATCTCCCAGCCCCCCATTATACCGGTCCCGATGCCACGCCTGTTCCCCTCCTCGCCTTTTGTTGCCCTTTTGTTGGGACTCCCCAACTTGGGAGGTGCGAATGCCAGCATGAACCCTTGCTCGGCTGGGGCGCTGGTATACATCGAACACGATGTCTGCAATTTCGTGTTCTATTCACTGTTCCCGATACTGAGACATCTTCACAGAAATGTGAATGTCGGCGGCATAATGGTATGGTGCGGTTGCCCGTCCCGTTCCACGGCTCTTTTAAAATATCTTCTTTCACAGGGGTGCTTTCGTCCCCAATACAGCGCCAGCTTGAATGACGGAGAATGCACGATGAGTTCTGAATCTTTTCAGTTTTATTGAGCCCAAAACTTATTGGCTTAATCAAGGGAACAGGGAACATACAATGCACTTGAATACAAGCAGTAGTCGACGCTTGAGGAAGAGGCGGCACTAGTGTCCTGAAGGACGAGTCCGCCCTGTTGGTCCATCCGACTATGAGTGCGTCAGTCTAAACGATGTGGACAACTGCGGCGGATGTGCCTCAACAGGGGAAAGCGTCGTTTGTGGCGACTATGCTGGGGTGCGCGGTGCGGCATGAGAGGAAGGATTCTGTGAAGTCTGTGCGTAACCAGCCTCTTTCTTTCTGCGCTTCGCTGCATGATGTTAACAAACCGTCAGACTCATGTCTTCGCAGATATGGCCTTGAGGATGGGACATGCACCAGAGTCCGAGCTCCGTCACGCATCAACAAGGGCAGAAAGGGGAGTTAAGAGTCTCAAGACAGCATTGTGCTCATTTGTATCCGATTTTGTTTGGGGGCATCATCGGACACACCTTTATTTTTGCCAAGAATCACACTCGTTTGTACTCGCATCTCAACTAAACACACTCTCTTAAGCATCGGGTGGCGGGAATGGCGCTCATTTGTACTCACTCTCGTTTGAATTGGACATGTTATTTATTGAGTCTGTGCTTTACGCCATATTTCTTTGGGTATTTTGAACCCAATGTTATGAACCTCTCGGAAATGCGACGTCGCGGTTTTCAAACTTCGTTTCATGCAGATCCGGATTCTGTTACGGAGTGCCGAGTTTGCCGAGAGTTTGCCGGCACCATCGGCAAACTTTCGGCCGCATGTGAGCATGCCGATGATTTCAGAGCGTACGCGGCGTGGCCGAGCGCACACCCGTCGGGTCGGGCGACCACCGAGACGAGACAACATATAAAACTCGACCCATCCGCTATACAGAAACATATTATTTCCGACAATGGGAGCCATCCTCGCGCGTATGTTTCCGCCAGCCTTCCTCCCCGAGCGCGACATGCCGGACTTGACTGGAAAGGTGCCTACTGTCTTTACTGCAATATTGGAGCCCGCATTATGCACAGTGCTAAACTGCTTCGCAGATCGCCATCGTGACGGGCGGGAACGCCGGCATCGGCTACCACACCGTCAAGCAGCTCCTCTTGAAGAACGCGACTGTTTACCTCGCTGCGCGGTCGCCCGAAAGGGCTGTCGCCGCCATACGCCAACTGGAGGCAGAGACGCGACACTCGGCGATATTTCTCCAGATCGACCTTGCGGATTTACGCAGTGTGCGTAGAACAGCGGAAGAATTTCTCTCAAAAGAGAGCAAGCTCGATTTGTTGTTTAATAATGGGTGTGTTTGCAGCGGTTTCATGGTTATAGATGTTGATTCAATTATTGTGCGGACAGTGGGGTGATGATATCCCCCCCCGACATGCTCACTGCACAAGGCCATGACCTCCGTATGCGCCTTTTACAATGTCTCGGAGAATTTCTCGGTTGACCGTTGGCTTTGTGCAGAATTCGGAACGAATGTGATCGGGCACTTCTTCCTCACAGAATTACTCGTATGTTGGTTTTGACCTTTGGATCTGGACAAGTCGTATGCCTAGTCAATTAAATCATCCGCAGCTGCCCGCTCTCAGCGCGTCTCATCGGGCATCCCAAATCCCCGCGCGCGTGATCCACACTTCCTCAGCCGGCCATATTTTTGCTCCTGGCCGCGGAATCGAGTTTGCGAGCCTGAAGGGAGGACCAGGACGCGATGCATGGCTAAAAGCTGCAGGTAATTTCAAAGGTTCATGGTGCGCTTGTCCTTTGCACTGAGAGTTCGCAGCCTTCCTAACCGTCACTTCAACTTAGGAAACTCTACGGCGAGAGCAAGCTCGGCAACATCATCGTGTCGAACCACTTCGCCAAGAAACACTCTGATGTGCTCGTCTCATGCGCGCTGCACCCCGGAGCAATCAGGACCGACCTCGTAAGGTGTGTGCTGAGTCCCTCCGATTATCCCTCGCTAGGATCTGACTCTAGCGCGAAATACAGACATGCGCCTCTTTGGATCCGGCTACTCGAACCGCTGTACAAGAGCCCCGCACCGTGCGTCTGACATTTCTTTCGATGGAATGGTTGAAACCTCTGGACATATTGTTTTGGCTAATACCTTGTACATGCAGGATGGGTGCGTACACGCAGCTGTGGGGTGCTACAGTTGCGACGCCATCACAAATCACTGCTCAGGTAGGTATATATGTGTTGAAATATTTATTCTTATGTAAACCCGGGCTGACTGTTCGTTTTATTTGCGTGCAGTATCTCATCCCTTTCGGAAAAGTCGGTGATGCGGGTCCGCGCGCGGCGGATGTAAAACTGGAGGCGGAAGTTGTTGCGTATATTCGGGAGCAGATCGTGGGGTATTAGATAGATCCAGAGCCGTTGTTGCACCGCAGGCAGGCAAAATTTTTGGATGCAAGCATTTGAAAACAGTTCAAAAGAAAATGGAGTGTGCGAGGCTGCCGAACATCAAAAAAAAATTCACTATACTCAAGTGGTTGAACGCCCCAGTGGGAGTTGAACCCACATCATCTTCATCAATTGCCGGAATCCTGCAGCTCCATTGGTTGAAGATGATCTGCAAGGGCTTGAATGCCTTGTTTCTGGGGTGGGATATGTCCTTATACGGATATCTATCAACATAGTTGTTCCGAGATTTGCCGATGTAGCACACAGATTCCTGACTGAGCATAAGGTGATGAGGAAAGAAACAAATGTACAAGCCCAGGTTAAACTTGAAAGTTGAGGTTTCAAAATTCGCGGTGGAGGATTCAATGCGCTCCTGAACGCGGACGGTCCCACTACTGAACATACATTCCTGTTGTACAAAAAAATGAGTGAACATCGTGTTGTCTTCATCACAGACTTGTTCCTCATGTTATGAAGGCGAAGATGATCCACCGTGATCGACAAGGGCTTGAAAAGCTTGTTTCTGGGGTACGGTATATAAGCACCAATCTCAATCCCAGCATTCCGACTCATCATACTTAGAGGGTGAAATGAAGAAAGAAGTGTATATAGTCTAAGTTGAATTTGTACTAGTTCCAAATTTGTGCAGGGTTCAATGTACAACTCTTAATTGCAGACGTCGATGGCTAGCCTCACCTCGCAGGTGAACAGTACAAAAGAAAAAGGTATAGGCACAGCACGTTGCATGCCCTCGGTGGGAGTCAAACCCGTTTATCTGTGCTACAAGATACACATTACTGCATGAAGATGATCCGCCATGATCTACGAGGGCTGCTGGCGGGTTGTTGCTGGACTGGGCCATATTGGGTCTGTATATATATATAGGCTTTCACGTACTCAGGAAGGGTGGCCGGATATTTGTGTCAAACCCACACTGGCTATATGAACCGTGGGAACAGCGGTTGGTTCAAGATGATCTGCTGTGATCTCAAACCACAAGAGCTTACAAGGGCTTCTGTGGTGTGTCATCTGGGATGGGTTATATTGGTATACAGAAATGTCCTCAAGTAGAGACCAACACATATTTCCAGCAGCTTGCTCGCAGCACAGTGAAGAAAATGGATATACAAGTTGAACTTGTAGCTTGCTAATGAATTCCCACCTTGGCAGAACCAGTGGCAAAAGACATCACCACTGCAGGAAAAAAATCTTCTTGTGTGGCTCAGCAATATATCCTCGGAGGGAGTCGAACCCACATTATCTTGATCAATTGTGCTCTATGGCTCCTGATTGGTCAAAGATGATCTGCCGTGATCTACAAGGGCTGTTCTAGCTCTGTTCTGCACCAGGATATATGTGTAAGTAAGTATGTTTGTCAGGTGAAGACTGTGAAGCTGGACCGCCAGGAGGTAGAATGATATTTATGCAGTGCAGTGTTTTACCCAAATTACGGTCCGTATTTGAACATAATTTAATTTCCAAATTTGTGTTCACTGTGCGGATTCCTGGAGGTCACAAAAAAGCAATATCAGCTGTAGCGAAGAAAACAGAAAATTATCGTCTGGAATGCCCTCGGTAGGAGTTGAACCCACATTGTCTTCCTTGACAATTCTGTACAGTCTACTTATTGGTTGAAGATGACCCGCCGCGATCTACAAGGGCTGTTCTAGCCCTGTTCTGCACCAGGATATCTGTGTAAGTAGGTAGTGTCTGTCAGGTGAGGTTGGCCCACTGCCAGGAGGTGGAATGCTATTTATGATATGTAATGTGGTGTTTGCAGTTTGTACTTGGGCAATTTTGTATTGCTAGCCACTTACCTGCATGGATTTCTGAACACAGATCCAACCATGGCCAGAAAACATTGGTATCAGCTGTACCTCCCCCCCCCCCCACAAAAAAAAAAAAAAGGAGCTAGCAAGCCTAGCTAGCAATGCCCTTGGTGGGAATTGAACCCACATTGTCTTCGCCAAATACCGTCGCCATCTATTTATTTGTTGAAGATGATCTACCGTGATCCACAAGGGCTTCTATGGCTTGTTTCTGGGGCTGGTGAGATCTACAAGTATCTATTGAGATAGAGACCAGCACAGATTCCCTACTGAGCATAGAGTGGAATGAATGAAGAGAGAAGTGGATATATAGGTGCTTTGACCTTGAGATTTTCAGATTCGTGTGCAGGATTCACATATACACATACAGCAAACACAGACGGTGTCCAGCTGTACATGTGCCCAGTCGTGCTGTAGAAAAGCAAAAGCTCACGGAAAGGTTGCATGCCCTCAGTGGGAGTTGAACCTGGCAAATTCAGTGCTGTATATGAGGCGAAGATGATCAACCACGATCTACCGGAGCTTTAGGAGCTTTGTGGCTGGACTTAGATGTGTCCCTGTACTTGCCCGAGACTCATCAGTGGCAACAGCTGAAGCTGAAAGAAATGTAATACCAAATTGAACCAACGGTTTGCAGTGTACCTTTCTTCCTTGATCAAGTTAAAGTTGGATTGTACACATTTCGAACAGCATCATATGTATGTCGGTCGGTACCAAAAAAAACTCAAGTGCAGCGTATGTATACCCTCGGTGGGAGTCGAACCCACATTGTTTTCATCACAGAGCAGTTCTCATACCTATGAGGCAAAGATCATCTACGAGGCCTTGGTGGGTTGTTGCTAGACCAGTCAGACTGGTCTGTATCATATATGTCGGAAAAAACCCAAATAACTTGCAACGGCTTGATGCTGCTTGAGACCTTGAGACGGTTTGCAACTAGTTTCAAGCCACTCTGCCAACACTTTCAAGGTGTCTCAAGATGTCTCAAGACAGCCAATCAGTTCCAAATGATCTCAAGGCGACCCAGGCGCCCGGCCTACAGCAAACTTCGGACACCTTTAAAATTTATATTTGGACTCGGAGAGCTCATTAATCGATGTTATTAACATGTAAGTCCTCATCAATACAGTCTGTGATATAATGCATGTCTTCGGTTCGTGATATTGGACAGCACTGAGAACGGAGGATGTGGCGCGGAAGGAGTACCACTTGCAGATGATTCCGAGGACGCCTCCCAGTCGGATACGTGTGTTGTATCAGAGGATGTACGCTTCAGAGGATGGGGAAGGGTCATTATGGAAGGGTTCAGGTCATTAGTGCTGACTTGTGGCGAGGTGGAGCGCGATGATGTCACTTTCGGCACGGTGCTATATTAACCAGAGTCCGTCACTCCACTTCACTCCACTTCTCTTCCTTCCCTCCCACCATCCCTCCTCCCTTCGCGCCGCACAGGTGCGTTTTGGTCCTCCCCGTCGCCCGCATGCTTATTCTTTCTTGAGGTTAACGACCGTTCTTTGATCGTTCTGCTGCCAGTGGTACGTCAGTTATCTCCAACACCCGAAATCTCACTGACTCGGACTCTTTCTGCAGGCCGCCTTGTCATATTGCGAGGTACGCCAACATGGCACCCTTATTTAACCTACCTCTTAATTATTTCCTACAGGTGGCGCTTCAATCGGTACGGTGGTTCATTACATGTGCGTCCCACGCAAACTTTGTTCTATCCACATACTGACTTGATATTATAGGTCTTGCAATTTTATATCTGCCCTTCCCCTCCTCCCTCATCCTTCCTACCTGTGCCGATGTAGTAGTGGATATCTGAATACAATGTTTTTTTTGTTTCGTTGGCCTGAATTCAAATTTTGAATGCATGGGTAGCGACGAGCTGCCCTGTCATTTGAGCAGCGGTTTCAGGCGTCTTGAGACACATTGTAAGGCCATTTAGCCCCCGGTGCCTTGAGACACCTTGAGATCCACACCCCGGCTCTCAAGGCGTCTCAGAAACCTAACCTATGTGTTGCAAACCACCCGGTACCAAATCAGCTTGAGACGCTTTGCAACATGTTTCGAGACGTCTCAAGTCAATCGGGATTTTTCCGACATATGGCCTTTCAGTGCTAGGGGGAATGATAAATCATAAGAAGTCCAGGATTTGTTTAAATTTTGCGTGTTTGATATGTTTGAGTTGACTGTTGAACCACAGTTGAACACGTCGGAGTCCGCAATCCACTTGTCAACGTCGTCGAGCGTCATGATACGTTGTCGCCGTGGAGCCGCTATTTTTGACCACTCCGCAGTCCAAGAGTTGTATTTTTGGATTCGGCCAAAAATACTTTGCGAAAAAAAACTAGAAGATGAGAAGGGGAAGAGCGAGGGATTTATTTTGCGAGCCTAGTTCTTACTTAACTTGAGTATTTCGCGTCGAACCGTCGGTTGAACCGGACGGAATTAGGTGCGCAATAAGCTTAGCGCCGGAGGCTGTCCCACGTCATCGGGACCTGTCATCTGTGCGGCGATTACATACGATTCTCAGACTTGCGCCGCCATGTTCAAGAGTGCGGCGACCAAGATCGCCCATAACACAACCCTCCCCGCCCTCGGGGGAAACAAAGACCTCAGGCCCCTCCAGGACCTTATCACCCTCGAGAAGAATGTCCTCACATCGTGCGTCTTGTCGTACTTCTAGTACGAGTAATACTGACCTCAAGGGAGAACAGCCTGCAGAAACTGAGCATCGACTTCACGAAAGCGAGCGAGGCGCTGCGGGCGTGGGGTGTCGGCGAGGGGGAGGATTTGGGTGTATGTCTGTCTGTCACTGCCGCGGTTTCCTGCGCCCGGCTGACTGAATTCATGGATTAACGACATTGCAGGACATCCTCGGCGCCTCAACGACGATCCTCGCATACTGGTCCGGCGCGCTGGGGGCGTATGCGACGAGGGAGCATACCATTCGCGATGTAAGTACAGTATAACTCTCCCATTCTGAATTGTTTCGCTTCCGGATTTCGGACTCGGACGGCACACGACTGGATTCGGATCTTGGGTGTAGCACTTACTGGACCAGGGTGACAGCAGTCGACGTACGCCACGTCGCTGCCAGTTAACTGGACCCTGGCCTGCCTTGATCTCGATGCACTATCATCAAGGGCTGCTAGGACACGGGATTAACGTTACCGCTCGGTGTTCGAGCCCGTCAGCTACTCCATTCCGTCTCAGCTCGCTGAAATTGATGGATGGGTGAATGGATGGAGCGAAACGCGGCCGCAACGCCGCGGGCTCTTCTGGCGATGCTCGGCGCCGGCTTCCCTTGCGTCGGTGACTGAGGCGGGATGCTGTTTGTGCCTCTGCAATATTCTGTGTGGGCTTTGGGCTCTCACCGGCCGTGTGCCCTATATTTATCGGACGTCGCGCCTGCAATGGAGTTCGGCGACTCCTCTGGTGCCGGGTCATCTATTTGCGTTGTCGTCGCGAGGCCGAGATGCGGTCATGTCCGCGCTCGGCCGTTGTCTGTGCTACTCTGTATCTCTCCGGTCTTTTCGCGTACTCCTAGCTTCGTCTTACTCCTTGTCCTCGTTCCGCTTCCGCTTCCTACACTATACTAACACCCATTTCTATTCTGTGTAGCATCTCAAACAAATCCGCACGCGCGAAGAGGCGCTCGATGAGCTGAAGCGACGGAGGAAGGTGGGTGTCACGTCCACCGTTTATTTTAACATCCTCCCCCCTCGCTCGCCGCTCTACTCCTACTGATATCTCGATCCCAATCCCCCTCCTTGCACCCGACTCCTCCCTTTCCTCTTCCCCGCTTTTCTCGCCCTCAACTCCGCTTGTGCTTTCTCTTCCCGTCTTCGTCCTCGCTCTCCCTCCCTACTTGCCTCCCTCACTCCCCTCGATCCCACTCCCCGCTTCCTCCTTATCTTCTCTCTTACCTCCCCGCCTTCGTCCTCGCTCTCCTCCCTCCATCCCCTCCCTGCCGTCCTCACCATGATCTCCCTCCCTTGCCTTCCCTACCTTCTTACCCTCTCCTTCCACTTTCCCTTGCTGCCACCCGGCCGTCATACAGTCCATCTTCGTATGCTAACCTCGCCCCCAGGCCACCCTCGCGCGCGCCGACTCCGCCGAGAAGAAGCTCAACAAGATGGGGGCCGAGCACAAGAACCTCGCGCAGCAGACGGACGTGCTGAACCAGCTGCAGGCGCAGATTCGGGGGATGGATGGTGAGTACCGAGTCTGCGTGGTAGTTTTTCTTTGCTTTCCTTCGGCGCTGCCTGTCGACGTACTTCGGCGCTGCCTGTCGAGGCGATACTTCAATGTTGGGGTGTCGATCCTCGCGTCACGGCGACGAGGTGGATGAATCGATGCGGATTCGGCTTGCCGCGCTCCGCTCCCTACCCCCTCCTCTCTCCCTCTTCCTCCTCCTCTCTCCCTCTTCCTCCTCCTCTCTCCCTCTTCCTCCTCCTCTCTCCCTCTTCCTCCTCCTCTCTCCCTCTTCCTCCTCCTCTCTCCCTCTTCCTCCTCCTCTCTCCCTCTTCCTCCTCCCTCCCACCCCTCCTTTCTTCTCCCGCTCCTCTTCCCTCACCTATTTCCGTTATCTTATGCTCACCCCTCCCCGCTTACAGGCGAAATAATGAACGAAGAAGCCGCGCTGGGCGACTTCAAGCGCACGAGCGCGCGCGCACTGATGGGGCTTAAGTTTGGCGGGCTCATGGAGGCGTGCGAGACGGGGTGCGTGGTGGCAAGAGTGGGGCGGGTGGCCGTTGCTGTGAGTGTTTGCGCGCTGTTCCTGCATTGCGTTCCTTGCTTTCCTTTTGGTTCTGTGTATTGTGTCGAGTGATGGGGGAGTGGGGGGTGTGTGGAGGCACAGAGGGTCTGGGGAGTTTTTGGTGTGGAAGCGGGGGAGGTGGTAGGGGGCAAGGGACAAGGGAGGAAGTGCAGAGGACAAGGGAGGAGGGGACAAAGGAAGAGGGGAGGTGAAGCGATGGGCGAAGTGTGTTGGGGCGTTCTGCGTGCGCTGATGCGAAGACGCACCGCACCCCAGCGCTAGGACCGACGGCGATGTGATGCGAGGGTGTGTGGAGAGCAGGAGAGGGGAAGGAGGGAGAAGAGGAGCCGGAGATTAGGGAAGAACCGAGGTGGGCGAGCGCCACCAGCGGGGCGCGTGTGGTGTCCGCGGTGTGGTGGTGCGGCGTGCGC